GGTGGAGGACAGGACTGGAGGAGGATGAGGAGGAGTGAAGGACGTGATGGAGGGACGCTGGTGGGGAGGACGTGGTGGTGGGTCATGGAGGAGACGTGATGGAGGAGGACGTGGTGGCAGGAGGGACGTGGTGGTCGAGGGACGTATGGAGGCCGGACGTGTGGAGGAGGACGTGGTGAGGAGGACCACGTGGTGGAAGAGGACGTGGTGGAGGGACGTGGTGGAGGGGACGTGGTAGGTGGAGGAGGACGTGATGGAGGAGGACGTGGTGAGGTGGACGTGGTGGTGAAGTGGTGGAGGAGGACGGGTGGTGGAGGAGGACGTCAGGAGGACGTGGTGGAGGAGGACGTGTGGAGGAGAGAGACGTGATGGAGGAGGACGTGGTGGAGGGGACGATGGTGGAGGAGGACTGCGTGGTGGAGGAGGACCACGCGTGGTGAGGAGGAACCGTGGTGACGTGGAGAGGAGGACGTGGTGGTGGAGAGGACGTGGTGGAGAAGAGCGAGACGTGATGGGAGGAGGACGTGGTGGAGACGACGACGGACGACGACGAAGGAGAAGGCGCTGGAAAAGGCTCAGCCGAGAAGCAGCACAACAAGCGCCTCAAACGAGCCCACAGGAAACAGACGATGCCAATAGGAACGTCAACCCCTTCTCTTCCCCGTCCCCCCCCCCCTTCTCCGGCCCTCCCATCCTCCCCCTTCTCTTCCCCCCTCCCTCTCCCTCTCCTTCCCTTCCCTTCCCTTCTCCTTTCCCTTCCCTCTCCCTCTCCCTTCCCTTCCCCCTCTCCCTCTCCTTTCCTTCCCCCTCTCCCTCTCCTTTCCCTACTCCCCCTCCCTCCCCCTTCCCTCCCCCCTCCCCCTTCCCTTCCCCCCCTCCCCCCCCCTTCCCTTCCCCCTCTTCCCTTCTCCTTTCCCTTCTCCCTCCCTCCCCCTTCCCTTCTCCCCTCCCTCCCCCTTCCCTTCCCCCTCTCCCTCTCTTTTCCCTACTCCCCTCCCTCCCCCCCCCATTCCTTTCCCTCCCTCCCTCCCCCTTCCCTTCCCTCCCTCTCCCCTCCTCCCTCCCCATTTCCTTTCCCTCCCTCCCTCCCCTCCCTCCTCCCTTCACCCTACCTCTCCTTGCCAATCCCCTAACACTCGCCCTCCCTCAAGAGGTCCCGGATGACAAGAGGTCTGGAGAGGTCAGCAGAGACGCTTCCGCTCCCCTTCGCTTCCACTCCATCCTCATCAATTTCAAACGCTGCAACTAATGTCCGTATTGCTACCATCGCCGCCTCTCTCTCACATAATAATTAAAAGTTAAAAGTGTAATAATAATAAAAGTAATAAATATAATAAATAATAATAATAATAAAGTAATAATAATAATAAAAGTATAATAATAATAAAAGTAATAATAATAATAATAAGTAATAATAATAATAATAAAAGTAATAATAATAATAAAATAATAATAGTAATAATAATTAATAATAATATAATAATAATAATAATAATAATAATAATAATAATGAATAATAATAATAATATTATTATTATTATTATTATTATTATTATTATTATTATATATAATATAATATAATAATAATAATAATAATAATAATAATATAATTATAAATAATAATATTATAATAATAAAAATAATTAATAATAAAAACAACAACAACAACAACAAATAATAATAATAATAACAATAATAATAATAGCAACAACAACGATAACAGTCATAATAACGACCATCATGCTTACCACCCGCACAGCCCATCCAAGAGAGCACAGACTTTCCACCTGCGGCCACGCCTACTAAACCCCCCTTACGGACCCCCTTCTCTTCCCACTGAGGGCGATTCGGTTCATTTCCATCCCGGTCCATCCTGCCCTTCCTGTTCAGCATCCGCCCAAAATCCACGCCGCAAACCATGAAGACGTTATTGCCATCCCCACAGCAACAAAACTACGACGACTACAACTACTAGTACAACAACAACAACAAAAAACAACAACAAAAAACTACCACCATTACCACACCACCCTCCTCCGCTCCCGCCGTTTTTCTACAAGCGCCCGATTTCTCCGCCCTCTCCTCCGCGGCTCCCACACCCCCTCCCCCTCCCCCGCCCACCGCCCACCGCCCACCGCTGCCCCACCGACCTACCGCAGGGCCCGGCATCCGTTCTGGCGAAGGGGAAATGCATCGCGGCCCTTCGGTGCTTCGCGGGAGGGTCCCGAAAGGACGCCAGAGGGTAGAAGGAAGAAGGGAAGAGGGATAAGGTAGAAGGGAAGAGGGTAAGAGGGAAGTAGGGAAGAGGGAAGAGGTAGAGTAGACGGAAGAGGGTAGAGGGAAGAGGTAGAGGGAAGCAGGGTAGAGGGAACGAGGGTAAGAGGGTAGCAGGGAAGAGGGAAGAGGGGTAGAGGAAGAGGGAAGAGGAAGAGGGTAGAGGGTAAGAGGGAAGAGGGGAAGAGGGTAGAGGGAAGAGGTAGGGTAGAGGGGAAAGGGGCAAAGGGAAGAGGGTAAGGGAAGAGGGCGAGGGGTAGAGGGAAGAGGTAAGGTAAAAGGGAAGAGAAGAGTAGAGAGAAGAGGGGAGGGTAGAGGGAAGAGGGTAGGGAAGAGGGAAGAGGGTAGTAGGGAAGAGGTAGAGGGAAGCCAGGTAGAGGGAAGAGGGCAGAGGGTAGAGGGCAGAGGGCAGAGGGTAGAGGGAAGAGGGAAGAGGGTAGAGGGTAGAGGTAGAGGAAGAGGGCTTAGGGTAGAGGGAAGAGGGAAGAGGGTAGAAGGGAAAGAGGGAAGAGGGTAGAGGGAAGAGGGTAGAGGGCAGAGAGAGGGTAGAAGGGTAGAGGGAAGAGGGTAGAGGAAGTTAGTGGTTAGAGGGTAGAGTGGTAGATTGGGCAGAGGTAGAGGAAGAGGGGTAGAGGGTAGAGGGAAAGGGTAAGATGGGGAGGGTAAGAGGGTAGAGGGAGAGGTAGAGGGGTGAGGGCAGAGGGTAGAGGTGAAGAGGGTAGAAGGCAGTAGGAAGAAGGGAAGAGTGCAAGAGGGAAGAGCGGAAGAGTGGTAGAGGGTAAAGGGGGTAGAGGAAGGTAGAGGGTAAGAGGGCAGAGGGCAGAGGGTAGAGGGAAGAGGTGTAGAGTAGAGGGTAGAGGGTAAGAAGGGCAAGAGGGATAGAGGGAGAGGGGTAGAGGGAAGAGGGCAGAGGGTAGAGGGTAGAGGGAAGAGGGTAGAGGGCAGAGGGAAGAGGGAAGAGGGAAGAGGGCAGAGGGCAGAGGTAGTAGGGAAGAGGGAAGAGGGAAGAGGGTAGAGGGAAGAAGGATAGAGGGTAAGAGGTCAGATGGGAAGAGGAAGAGGGTAGAGGGTAGAGGGAAGAGGGGAGAAATTTGACAAGAGCAATTAAGTGCAGGGAAAAGGGATTTATAATTGGAGAGACGGGCTTTATAGTGGAAGAGGCTGGGGAAGGGGGGGGGGAGATGGTGGGAGAGAGGGAGAGCTAAGAGAGAGGAGAGAGGGAAAGAGAGAGAGAGAGAGAGAGAGAGAGGAAAGGGGAAGAGAGAGAGAGAGAGAGAAGAGAGAGAGAGAGAGAGAGAGAGAGAGAGAGAGAGAGAGAGAGGAGAGAGAGAGAGAGAGAGAGAAAGAGAAGAGAGAGGGGAGGGAAAGGGAAGGGAAAGGGAAAGGGAAAGGGAAAAGGGAGAGAGAGAGAGAGAGAGAGAGAGAGAGAGAGAGAGAGAGAGAGAGAGAGAGAAGAGAGAGAGAGAGAGAGAGAGAGAGAGAGAGAGAGGGAGGGAGGGAGGCAGGAGAGAGAGAGGGGGGAAAGAGAGGGAGAGGAGGAGAGGGAAGAGAGGGAACGAAAGAGAAAGAGAGAGAGAGGAGAGAGGGAAGAGAGAGTGGAGAGAGTAGAGAGAGAGGGAGAGAGAGAGAGAGAGAGAGAAGAGAGAGAGAGAGGAAGAGAGAAAGAGAGAGAGAGAGAGAGAGAGAGAGAGAGGGAGGGGAGGTGAGGAGGGAGGGAGGGAGGAGGGGAGGAGAGAGAGAGAGAGAGAGAGAGAGAGAGAGAGAGAGAGATAGGGAGGGAGGAGAGGGAGGGAGGGAGGGAGGGAGGAGGGAGGGAGGGAGAGAGAGGGAGGGAGGTAGGGAGAGAGGGGGAAAGAGAGAGAATGTAGGACGCAAGAGGGATGGTGAGAAGGGAGAGTAGAGATAGAGAGTATAGAGAGTTAGAGAGTCTAGAGAGTTTTTAGTTTAGATTGAGTTAAAGAAAGAGAGTTACGAGAGCGATTGAGGAGAGGATAAGAGCACGAGAGTGATGAGAGAGAAGGAGAGAGCAGCTGACAGATCGAGAATGGAGAGAGAGAGGGGAGGGGAGGGGGAGGGAAGGGGCGAGGGAGAGAGAGAGAGAGGAGAGAGACGAGAGGAGGCCCGAGACCGGGCCGAGAGGATAGAGAGCCCTAGGAGGAGAAGAGAGATGAGAGAGAAAGGGAGTGTGAAGGCCATGAGGCGAGTGTGTAGGGAGGGCGAAGCGTGTGAGTTGAAAGCGCGAAGGGAGAGAGAGGGAGGAGGGTTTTTTTTGCTTTATTAGGTGGGCATGAAGTGTGCTCTGTGTTGTGTGTTTGTTTCGCGGGGTGGCTGTCGAGAGGAGGGTGGAAACGAGAGAGAGAGGCGCTGCTAACGAGAGGGGGAGGGAGAGAGGCGGAGAGAAGAGTGGTAGATATGTTAAAGATACATGAGCAGTTCAGTAGGAGGGGTTTAGGGTTTCAGAGAGGTTCTGGAGAGAGTAGAGAGATGACAGCGCACCGAGAGAGAGAGATGAGGAGGCAGAGGGAGAGAGAGAGAAGAGACGAAGGCGAACCATGGGATGGAGGAAGGCGCAAGGGAGAGGAGGGAGGGAGGGAGGAGGGAGAGAAGAGAAGGAGAGAAGAGAGGGAGACGAGAAACAGAGAGAGAGAGGAAAGAGAGAAAGAGAGAGAGAAGAGAGAGGAGNATATATATATATATATATATATGTCTATATATATATAACTTACATCCTTTGTAGTATCCCTGCCCTCACTGGAACTCATCGTCCGAGCTTAAGAGCATCGTCTTCTCGTTATACGCTGCCCTCCCGTTGCCATTTCGACCGCCGTTCTGGGCTCTTCCACCAAGGCCTCCTCCATTTCCACTGCCCATGCCACCTCCTCCCATTCCCCCCATTCCGTTGCTTCCATTCGACTGTGGGACTTCGTCGGCATCATAGGTACTGACTGCTGTGTGTCCTGACCCTCTGGTGGTGCCTCCTGCAATAGGAGAGGTTTCTTTAGTAATTGCTAATATGCACAATTGCAAGGATTTTCTGACTGGGGCTCTGAACAGGGCAAAGAGAACAGCAATGTTAAACAAAAAGCATGTTGTGAAATGACGTGAAAAGAAGAGACAAATTTAAAAATTACAAAATGCATTTCAAAATGATCTTCTAAAGCCATGCTTTCATTTATAAATCAATACAAACACAAACAAACAAACAGTTAACTGATTTTTTAGAAAAGAAAGAAAAAAAAAAACACATGCTTTATTATCTCAAAAATATTGTTTGCAATTTGAAAGCAATTCATTATGGGGAGCCTAATAAACATGTATTACTAGGAGATCTGAACTTGAGCTAAATACAGCTAAAACCACAACCAATGAAGCTGAAGGCATACACAGTCACTATCTACAAAGCTGGACAGATGCAAATTTACATGCAGATGATACATGACTGACAAAGACAAGATACAAGTAAAGGCACGCAAAAGAACTAATATGCTGTTAAGCTACAGATTCACGTATCTGTAACAATAAATGTCATGCATGAATAATGAAGATTCAAATCACATTAAAGAAAGAAAGAAAGAAAGAAAAAACACTGCAAAATCCATTCTATGATTTTTTATTTGCCAGGTAATCATGCTACACTGGCAAATAAATCACATGATATCATGTATCTTCATGCCATGATCTATTCAACTGAGTCTCTCCATTTTCTATAAACCTCTTTTACACATGGCATCGGCAATTCTATTCACTTTATGAGAACATTCATTAAGGTTCCTATACACAATAAGAGAGCTATCACAAACAGAAGTCTTGCACCTCATTCTTTTGCTGAAAGATGATGGTACAACATTTATCTATGCACACACACACGCACACACGCACACACATACAAGCACACACACACACACACACACATACAAGCACGCACACACACACACATATACTCACAAGCACAACCACACACACACTCACACGCACACTCACAACCACACACATACTCACACGCACACTTTCACACACACACACACATACTCACACACACACTTTCACACACACA